ACATAACTCACTTACTTCTTTGACTGCAGTCACACTTCATATAAACACGCGATAGTCAATACACCACGGCCAACACCATCACTAAAACCAATACCATTTACCATACTTTGTCCATACCACTGTTTGGTCGGTATATATAGTCCTCCACGCGCCAAGAATAAACAGATGTTTTTATAAATGATCAAAAACTTACAAGCAAAACTGTCAAGAAAATGTTTGTACGAAGCTGTGCCATAAATCGAACGCACTGTAACAACCTCCTGCATTCCACATTTATTCCCTTTCAGTTCTGAAGTCAGATAACCTCGTATTCTTAACTTCTTTCTAACGCGGAAGACGAATAATCTCTTTGCTTTCTGTTTAGATTCATTCTCCCTCTATCCCCAGAAGGAGAAACTACAATGTGAAACCCATGCCGCCTAGCGCTGTAACAGCAACAAGACTTTATGGTACGCCACGAAGCGCCAATTTTAACACAATCCTGAGTGAACATTGATATTGTTGCGAAGGGGAAAGCGCATATCTCTATGCTGTTGTCAGTAATGTACCCATTTTACAACCTTCATGCAATGCATTAGAAAGGGGAAACGGTGGGATGGGTTTTACTTGTGAAAAACATTACTCTTTGAGAAAAATCAGTCCCAATGCTATGCAGCCTATAAGTTCACATGGACTGCCCTGGCTGGAAAGCAACGCCTGTTGTATGAAACCAGCGGCTAATGCCTAGGCTATTGTACAGCCTTAATTAACACATAGTCGTGACCTGTAATTTAACTTTAACATATTCACAACCTATTTTACAATCTACTTCAATCTTGTGTTCCCATCTTCCAAGCATCCACCTTACACATGTCTTACTTCATACAGCAGAAATCACATGCTGCAATGTACCTTTAGTATTCCATGGAAGAGCAACACTCCTTTCAATTGTAATCAAGGCAAGACCATTTTGTAGAATTTGTGATCTTCTAGATTGTTACCCACCATTAAATTATGTATAATTTTGGAGGAACATGCTGCTCCCTTCTTCAAAGCACATGATATTTCAAAAAAAAGGGGTGCTAATCACTATAGTGTGTGACTGACTTTATGAATGTCAACAACTCACTGCTTCAATTAATGATCATAACTACTTTTACTTTGCCAATGGATAAATTGAACAGAGAGAGACATAAGAATTCATGCTGGGAATCACTGTAGTAGATGAATGAATCTCTAACTCCAATATGCTGTAATATCGCTGTTGATCAAATTACCTTACAAACCTAAAATGTTCTACATGTCACTTTGTATAGAAACTAATATTGACAAAACTAAACATATTTTTCTCCAATATATTTATTTTTTAATTATGAAAGTATACATTTTACAGTAAATATGAATTTACTGTGGTGCTCCTCTTCCACGACCAAACCCACCACGCTGAAAAAAACAAAAAACAAATCACATTAACTGCAGCAATATAAGGGAAAATACAACAAAGAGAAATGTGAACTTTTATAATGGCACATGCAATATTTTTTTACAAACACTGAAGCAATTACTGTGTTAAAATACTTCAGTTATTCTATGAACTTACAAATTCCACATCACCAGTGCCAGCTCCTACATCAGCCTTCTTGTCAGAGCCAGATGATCCAGTGCGAGGGGCATGCCTGTATGCAGCCCTGTCCTCTGCAGGTCTGGATCCTTCTGACCTTGGTGCAGTTGGTCGAGGGCGAGCTGTCTCTTGCCTTCCTTGTCGTTTCAATGTTGACGGTACAATCTATCCCAAACATCCAGGATAATATGAACCACAAAACACTGTTTCCTTGTACTACATTTTAACTTACCTGAACATTGCACGAATAATTGTTACTATGATTAAATTCACTGCATAATTTTTGTATGACACTATAGAAGCAGGACATGAAGGTTCAACTATGCTGCCACCACAGTCCACCAATGCACTCAATCTTTAAGTCAGTTCTGTACACCTTCTATGCCCATAAACTCCCTCCCTCAACATCCATCTTAGCATCATCCTAACAACTTCCTCTAATTTAACAAAATCTTACGCTATGATGTTCAACTTTATGTAGGTATACACTCATCTACTATAAAAATTTGTGATTTCGTCGTCGTCAACCAATTTGTCGTCATGAACAATGCCAACAGACATTTGTTTACTCGGCATTGTTGTGGAACACAACAATGCAGAGCAAACAAATAACGCTACACAACAAAGATATCAAAAACTATCAAGCCAGTCGCATTATCACTGCTCCAGAAGCAGCACATCGCCTCCGAACAGCGACAGAAAACTATTTAAGAAATGAAGAAAAGTGAAAGAAGACGTTACCAACACCAACAAGGTAATCTGATACTAATAATTATATTCATTCAAGTCATACTTCTCATTCAAGAGTTAAAACACTTGAATAAGACACTAAACTAACCCCGCGTTGCGTTTTTAAACACTTGACTAACCCCCCGGGGGTTGGCCAAGTGTTTTAGTCAAGGAGCGCTCTGCTCTAGTATTACAAAATAAAACACCTACATTAATTTATATTTCACTTATTCCTGTGGCTTTCATGGCAAATTACAGCTTCAATTTTATCCTTTATGCATTCTTTATATGCATTATAAGAATATAATGTCTCATCATAACCAATCTATATAACCAACGACAAGAAGTTTGAGCACATTTACATCATACAAATAACACTCTGATGGGGAAAAAAGTAACTGCCTATGCTTACTGCCACTATTTATCATTTAGATTCCTGTAGCAATGCAAATTTTGCTGTTTTTAAACGAAAGTATGACTGGCCAACAGTCTTTGCAGGTTTTTAATTCCATCACTGGTGATTCATTCATGTTACAGCAAAGTTTTTACAGTCACAGAATTCTGATCTGCAATACTGCAATCTTCAGTATCTCACAGCTTGCTATACCCAAGTTATAATGAAGTATA